ATCAAGTAGGATTCATTCCTGGGATGCAAGGCTGGTTCAATATATGGAAATCAATAAATGCTATTCACCACATCAACAGACTTAAAGATAAGAACCATATGATCATCTTGATAGATACAGAAAAAGCATTCAACAAAGTACAGCATCCCTTTATGTTCAAAACACTAGAAACACTAGGGATAACAGGAACTTACCTCAACATTATAAAAGCTATATATGCTAAACCTCAGGCTAGCATCATCCTAAATGGAGAAAAACTGAAGGTATTCCCTCTAAAATCTGGAACAAGACAGGGATGCCCTCTATCACCACTTCTATTCAATTTAGTTCTTGAAATACTAGCCAGAGGAATTAGACAGACAAAAGAAATTAAAGGCATAAAAATAGGAAAAGAAGAACTTAAATTATCACTATTTGTAGACGACATGATAATATATTTAACAGACCCAAAAGGATCTACAAAGAAACTGCTAGAGTTAACAAATGAATTCAGCAAAGTGGCAGGAAATAAAATCAACGAGCATAAATCAATGGCATTCCTGTATATCAGCAACAAAACTTCTGAAATGGAAATGAGGAAAACCACTCCATTCACAATATCCTCAAAGAAAATAAGATACTTGGGAATCAACCTAACAAAAGAGGTGAAAGATTTATACAATGAAAACTACAGAACCCTAAAGAGAGAGATAGAAGAAGATCTTAGAAGATGGAAAAATGTACCCTGTTCATGGATAGGTAGAACTAACATCATAAAAATGGCGATATTACCTAAAGTTCTCTACAGGTTTAATGCGATGCCAATCAAAATCCCAATGGCATTTCTTGTAGAAATAGATAAAGCAATCATGAAATTCATATGGAAAAATAAAAGACCCAGAATAGCAAAAGCAATTTTAAGCAGGAAGTGTGAATCTGGAGGTATAGCGATACCAGATTTCAAACTGTACTACAAAGCAATAGTAACAAAAACAGCATGGTACTGGTACCAAAACAGGCAGGTGGACCAATGGTACAGAATAGAGGACACAGAGACCAATCCATAAAATTACAACTTTCTTATATTTGATAAAGGGGCTAAAAGCATGCAATGGAGGAAGGATAGCATCTTCAACAAATGGTTCTGGGAAAATTGGAAATCCATATGCAACAAAATGAAACTGAATCCCTTTCTCTCGCCATGCACAAAAGTTAACTCAAAATGGATCAAGGAGCTAGATAGTAAATCAGAGACACTGCGTCTAATAGAAGAAAAAGTTGGCTACAATCTATATACTGTGGGATCGGGCTCCAAATTCCTTAATAGGATGCCCATAGCCCAAGAGTTAATAACAAGAATAAACAAATGGGACTTACTTAAACTAAAAAGTTTTTTCTCAGCAAGAGAAACAATAAGAGAGGTAAATAGAGAGCCTACATCCTGGGAACAAATTTTTACCCCTCACACTTCAGATAGAGCCCTAATATCCAGAATGTACAAAGAACTCAAAAAATTAAACAATAAGATAACAAATAACCCAATCAACAAATGGGCCAAGGTCCAGAGACTATTTTTACATGAGATTATATCAATCAAGACTTATATCATAAATTAAATTTTAAAATATTTATTTAATTTATAATAAAAGATTTACATGCTAACATAGATTAACATATTTTTATAAAAAATAACTACATTTTCCAAAACAGAAAATAATTACTAAGAAAAGTGGCACTGTTATAAATTAAAGCATTTTCTCAGTATTTAACCTGTTGTGGTATGTTGTCTTAGTTGAGCTATATGAAGAAAATCCAATCTCAGACAGATGGTTATAAAATAGAGAACAAAATAAAAACTCTGAGAGGATTCTGGGGACCTCAAACATACTTCCTACAATACTTTGAAAACTACTGAAAAATATGCTAACCAACAATATAGCCTGGGTTAGTCGTCAATTAGCCTTCTCCAAAAATACTTGAATGTTCTATAGAAATGCTTAATGTCTACCTAAATTCTTAGAGGAGAAGAAGGTGCAAGAAGAGGAGGAAGAGAAATAGAAAGGAGAAAAGGAGGAAGAGGAAAGAGAACCTGTCAGGAAATCTCACATTTATATGAGTTGAGTACCCTACTATTATCTTTAAAGATTAAAACTCTGATTTTATAAAACTTGGAAATTATTATCAAATGGCAGCAATATAAAGGACCTTTGAGACTGAACCTCAAAAATTAACAAAACAACCAAAAACCAAAGAGGCTAAAGAATTATCCAAAAAATGATAGCATACTTATAAAAGGCTCACAATTTAGATGGGGAAACCCAGCTAAAATGGAAGTAGTACTTTCTTTTCATACAATTACATGCATATATCTCAAGAATGTGCACATACTTAGAGAAAGAAACGTATGCGTGCATGTGTGCTTATATATGTATATATTCCCATCTTTACTTATATTAAGGCTTGGAAAAGACTTCAGTTTTAAGAAACTTTAAGTAGCATAACTTAACTACCCAAATGTTAAATTAATAACATCTCCTATTATCTTTTTTCAAGAATCACTTCAAATATAATGAAAATACATTTTATTCAGAATTCAGACCATGGTACCTACTAAAAAAACAGGCAGTGTTTCAAATACACAATTTAGGTAAAAACTGATCAATAGATAACTAAACTATAATTATACAGGAAGAAGAAGTTCTAGTGTAGTACTGTGTAACACAGTGACTACAGGTAACAATAATATACTGTACATTTCAAAAAGCTAGAAGAAAGACTTAAGATTTTACCAAGAATAAATAATGTTGAAGAGATAGGTATGATTACCCAGCTTTAAACATTACATGCGTACAGATTCCAAAACACCATATTATTCCACTAATACAAATAATTTTTTATGTTTTTGTCAGTTAAAAATAAAATTAATTTTTTTAAAATATGCTTCTAAAATAAAGCACACCATCAATTCTCTAACTTGTAGTCTATACACCAATTTTTTAAAAAAATTATAACAACTTATTTAAATATCAACTTTTTAAAGTCTATTAATTTCTTAATAAGAATATTTACTGTATTTCTACTTAACTTTTCTAATAGTACCATGACATTTTACTTGTTATCTTTAATGTAAATGTTTAAAGATCTCATTCTGACTGCATCCTCTAACATATAAGAAAATATATCTTGTTTATGACCAATGTAATAAGATAATGAAAGAAAAATGATTTTGTAAGAAATAAATATTCTTTAAAACAGAAAGCCCAAGCCACAAGTCAAAGCTACTTTTTGGAGATTAAAATTAAAAATAAATTATAAAATATCACAAATATATTTATGATAAAATGAATGCATATTTAATTTTAATAGCATAAGGGAAACTTCTGTGAATTTTTCACATAGCACTATTTCTCTAAAGAACCAAAGAACTCAAAACCATGTTGAAATATAACTAAATTCTATAAATCCATAGAAGTTAATTCCTGCAAGGTTATGATTTTTAAAAGCTTCTGAAAATAGATGGAAGAAGAATTATAGATATTAGGCTCAATAGATATGAAAGATACTACAATTTACAATATTTCTTCCCCAACTGTCCTCCTTTGATTATCTTTGCATTTACAAACACATTTGAGCATAATAACAGATGCAAAGAAGCAAATTTACAGTTTGATTTCTATTTTTTCTTTCCATGATTTATTTACTCATTCACTAACTCAACTATTTAGTGCCAACTATGTTCAAAGCACTGACTAGACATATCTACTTTCCCAAATACCAATACAAATGAGTGGTACATAAAATATTTTTAAGAATCCGTCTTTATATAAATGATGCAAAGCAAGAGGTAAGATGATTGATTGAAAGTTGTAATTCATTCAAAAATGCTCTATCTTCAAACTATTCCTATAACTCAGTAGCACATACCTCTAATTCCTACTTGGGAGGCTGAGACAGGAAAATCACCAGTTCAAAGCCCTCTCAAAATTTTAAAAAAAATAAAATGGCCACTCTGTGGTAGAACGCCTCTAGATTCAATCCCCAGAACCACAGATAATAAATAAATACATAATAAAACTACTGCTATTAATTAATGCACTGAGAAATTAAACAGACTAAAAAGTCTGTGTAGTAGAAGACCTCACTTGTGGCTACCTAGAAAGAACTTTTCTAAAGGATAGATTAGAAAATGCAGTTTACTATGAGATGGAGCCCTCATTTTTAACAGTATAAATCAATTGTGACTTCATGAAATCTTCCTCATGAGTTTTTATTTTCCCAATCTGACTAAGTAGATAATTAGGAAAGGAGGTTAATTCTAGATTAAGCAAATCTATCAAATATGGAAAATTTGAAATAGGATATAATATGGTATAACGTCTCACATATTTTCTTACCCTGAAGAAGTCAAATTTTCAACTAAACAAAAATATCATTTTTAATTAATTAACATTTGTATGAAAATATAAAGCTCTTAAAATATTTTTGGTAGTATCATTAAATTATTATAAATTTTAATTTTTTTTAATTTTCTAGCTATGTCATCAGTCTTATGTGTTTTGTTCTTAAAATCAAAAAGCATCCTATATCATATTCCTTAATGCACACCTTACAAGAAAATCTTATATTAAGCATTCCCTAAAAGGTGAATATTTCCATTAAAAATAGATGCAAATGTTTATAAAGCCAACTGGATTAATATGCATATAATACCAAATTCTGAACATGAGTGTTGAAATTTTTTGGTTTAATATCCATGAGATTAATCAGAGTTCTGAAGGAAAGTATCTCTTGTTGCAGTCATGGAAGAGGGGTCATGATGTGGAGGATGACAATCCAAATGAGAATAAATAAGACTGCTTACTTTAAGTAAGGATCAATAACAAAATAAAATGGAAAAAGAAAACGTAGGTGATAGGCATCATATAACAAAGTACTTAAAGTTTAAATGATTTTTAAAACTTCATATAAAAAGTATTAATGCTAAACTATAGGATACAATAGTATTCAATATTGATACTCACCAAAATTTGAGTATCTGTAGCCTGCTCTTGGACTATCTGAATTGCTTTTGCCAGATCTTCTTCACCTTCTGGAATACTGAAATTGTCATCTGGTATCTAGATCACAAGGAAGAAAATAGGAAGAGAGCAGAAATATAAAGTGACATAAAATAAGTCCCTCTTATTGACAGAGAATATGTCCTAAGACATTCTACAGATACCCAAAACCACAAATTGTACCAAACCTTATATGTGCTATATTTGTTCCATACATACACATATGTAATAAAGTTTAATTTATAAATTAGGCACAGTGAGCAATTTAAAAAAACTAATAATAATATACTACAATAAAAGTTATTTAAAACTTATGAATTATTTATTTCTGGAATTTTCTATTTAATATTTTTGGACTACAACCGATGATGAGTAATACCACTGAAATTGAAACCACAGATAAGGAGAGACTACAGTATTTCATTCCATAAATAATTCTTCTTCACAAACTAAAGCATCAAAGAAATAAATATATAAAAGACATCATATCATCCTAAAGATGTATGAAAAATAGATAACAGGCAGCTTTTATTCCTTATAAAAGGTCATTCAATGTCACTTCTAATAAATTCAATATTACCTACAGACAACTGCCTTTATCTATAAAGACAGATACAGTCTAACAGTTCTTCTGAAAAAAAAAATGTTAGATTATCTTAATGCCACAAAACTCTTCCAATCCTAGGTTTTCTCCAATATTTTTCATAACAACTAGAAACAGTAAATCTCTACTTTATTATTTTAAAAATTTCACTGAATATTAAAATCTCAGAAGAATGCAATGGATAATAATTATTTAAGGATACCTAACACTAATCACGTCCTTCTTATGTGCTGAAAACCATTTTCAGCCCTTTGTATTAAATCCATTCAGTAACTTCATATGGTACATATTATGTCCATTTTGACAAAGGTCTGCCTCCTTTGTTTGACCTGTCTATTGATTTTCCAGGTCGCATATTGCCAGGCTTGCTTTCACATAGTTTCATTCACAGCTTCTGTCATCTAAAAGTTACTTTATTCTCTGAGTCTCAGAAGTAATGACAGGTCTCATGGGAACACTTAATTAAAGGAAAGGTTTGGGACAGGAAATATATTTTACAGAAGTACAGTTAAGCTGGAAGGTGGCATGAGTCCTGAGCTCCAGCTGGGAAATGGGAATATGGGAATTCCTGCCAGTAACAGAATAGACGATGGGAAATGCTTTCTAGACAGAGATGACCATCTATAGCACAGATCCACAAGGCAAATTACAAGGAGCTGAATTTGAAGAATAATTAACAGAAAACATAAAAGAGCCAGATATATTATACAAACTAAATGTTTAACTAAAATTTTCCCATTTTATTCTTAACCAACTGATAATAGGTAGCTTCAGTTTAATAACTAATTTCTTTTTTTGACATCAACTAAATTTTTTCTTTTTTTCATCTTGTTATATATGACAGCAGAATGCATTCCAATTCATATTACACATACAGAGCACAATTTTTCATATTTCTGGTGGTACACAAAGTAGAGTCACACCATTCATGTCTTCTTACATGTACACAGGGTAATGGTGTCCATCTCATTCCACCATCTCTCCTACCCCCATACCCCCTCTTTCCCCTCCTTCCCCTTTTCCCCTTTGCCCTATCTAGAGTTCATCTAATCCTCCCATGTCCCCCACCACCACATTATGAATCAGCATCCTTGAACCAGAGAAAACATTCAGCATTTGGTTTTTTAGGATTGGCTAACTTCATTTAGCATTATATTCTCCAATTCCACCCATCTACCTTCAAATCCCATGATTTTATTCTTTTTTAATGCTGAATAATATTCCATTGGTTATATATATCACATTTTTTAATTCATTCACCTAATGGAGGGCATTAGGTTGACTCCACAGCTTAGCTATTGTGAATTGTGCTCCTATAAATATTGATGTGGCTTGTGTCCCTGTAGTATGCTGTTTTTAAGTCCTTTGGGTATAGACTGAGGAAAGAAGAGTAAAGCAGATGGCATCACTATACCAGAAAATCAGTGTCTTTTAAGGGAAAAAGATTATGTGTTTCAGAAAATAAAATAGTTCATGAGAATGACTGCAATCAATTTATGGAATAAATACTTAAAAGTGTAAAAATTACCTCTTCATATTCATAATCATCTTCAGATGCCTCAGTTATGGTAACCTCTGAATATCTTGTCAAGTTTAAATCTCAAAATATATAGAATATTATTATATGAAAATTGATTTCAATTAAAATTCAATATTGGATCTAATTACCTCATCAGGAAGTTTATAAATAAATGTAATTTTTAAAAAAAATTTCTCCATACAGCTTATAAATTTAGATATAAAATATTTTAATGAGTATTTTTAATTTTTACACAATCCAAATACATGAAAAACTACATTTATATCTAACTACTATCTAATGATTTCCTGCTTACATCCAAAAATTTTACAAGAATATCCAGGTATAATAAGACAATATAAATTAAAAAGAGATATTTAAAAAATAGTAAATTTTTAAAATTATCTTTAACCAAACTAAATTTTACACAGCTCCTGAATCAATTATTCACAATGTAGCACTTTATTTTGATTAAAATATTGTAATTGAAATAAACAAAATAAATACCAATATTTAAGTAAAGGTAAAAAACATATTTATATGTTTTCCTCAATAAAATTTACCTAAATCTCTAATTTTCTTCTATAACTCAACTTTTTAGTTAAATTTAGTTCATGTGAAAGATTCCCTAAATTTTAAGCAAATATACACTATAAAGTAATCAAAATTCATATTTTATTAATTCTTAAGCAATTAAATAGCAATGGAAAAGATTCTAATGAAAAAAATTCTGGGAGCACTGCCACAGGACTTTAAAAAATTGCAAACATAATAACAAAACATTAAGATAATACTTTACATTAAAATAAATAATATAACAGTCGTGATTCTTTGATTTTGGTTTTGGTTGGTATATTTACATTTTTTAAATTATTATACTGACATGGTATGTCAAGCTTAAAAGGTGTGAATTAAACACTTTAGTTCAAAGTAATGGTTATAAAAATCAAAGATGAGATTAGTCTATTTTTCATTTCCCTGCTGGTTATAAAAAATTGTCTATTAGAAACTAGACTTGATGAATGACATCTCTGTTATTTTTAACAAAAGGAGATAACATTTACACAGTATTTAATAGAATCCATGTACTCCTCTACTAGTTTTCCATGTATTAAATCATTTTATCCTCACCCTGTCTATGAGGCTAGAACTATTATTATTTCCATCTTATAAATCAGGAATCAGAAGAACCAGGTTTCAAAGCTAGGACACAAGTGAGTTGGGAATCAGCTTCAGAAATTCAGGCTTTACTGGGAGACAGCACAATATCAAACCTTAAATTATATTATAGAGCTGTAATAACAAAAACAGCATGGTATTGGCATCAAAACAGACATGAAGACACAGAGATAAAATCACATATATACAATTATCTCATACTAGACAAAGGTTTCCATAAATACATAGGAGAAAGCATAGCTTCTTCAACAAATAGTGCTAGGAAAACTGGAAATCCATATGTAGCAAAATGAAATTAAACCCCTAATTACTCACCCTGCACAAAACTCAACTCAAAGTGGATCAAGGATCAGAGACCCTGTACCTACTAGAAGAAAAATAGGCCCAACTCTCCATCATGTGGAATTTGGAACCAAATTCCTCAACAAGACTCCTAAACCACAAAAAGTAAAATCAAAAATCAATAAACAGGGGCTGGTGTTGTAGCTCAGTGGTAGAGTGCTTGCCTCGCATGTGTAATACACTGGGTTTGATCCTCAACACCACATAAAAATAAAAAAAAATTTAAATAAAGATATGTGTCCATCCTCAGCTAAAAACATTTTTAAAAAAAGAATAAATGGGATGGTATAAAACTAAAGGAAAGGAAAAAATCAAGAATGTGAAGAGAGAGACAACAGAATGGGAAAAAATCTTTGCCACCTGCACATCAGAGCATTATTCTTCAAGATATATAAAGGACTCAGAAAATTTAACACCAAACAAAATGAATAACCCAATCAATAACTGGGCAAAGGAATGGAACAGATACTTCACAGAAGAAATACAAATGGTCAACAAATATATGAAAAAATGTTGAACATCTCCAAGCAAATGCAAATTAAAACTAAGTACTAAGATTTCATCTCACTCCAGTCAGAATGTCAATTATCAAGAATACAAATAACAATAAATGTTGGCGAGGATGTGGGGGAAAAGGTACACTCATACATTGCTAGTGGGACTGCAAATTAGTGCAACTACTCCGGAAGGCAGTATGGAGATTGCTCAGAAAACCTGAAATGGAATCAACATTTGACCCAGTTATCCCACTCCTCAGTTTATACCCAAAGGACTTAAAATCAGACTATTACAATGATGCAGCCACATCAATGTTTTTAGCAGCTTAATTCACAATAGCTATGAAATCAACCTAGGTGCCCTTCAAGAGATAAATGGACAAAGAAAATGTGGTATAAATACATGATGGAATATTACTCAGTCATAAAGAAGAATGAAATTATGATATTTACCAGAAAATGGACTGAACTAGTAACTGTCATACTAAGTAAAATAAACCAATCCTATAAAACCAAGGCCAAGTGTTCTCTTTGATATGCAGATGCTAATACACAGTAAGTTGTGGGACAGGGAAGAATAGAAGTTCATTAGATTAGACAATAAGGAATGAAGGGAAGGGAGAAGGGATGGAAATAGGAAAGACAGTAGAAAGAATCAAACATAACTTTTCCTATGTTCATATATGAATACAAGAGCAGTGTAACTCCACATCATGTACAACCACAAGAATTGGAAGTTATACTTCGTGTATGTATATTATGTCAAACTACACTCCAGTATCTTGAATATCTAAAAAGAACAAATTTTTTTAAAAGTTCAGGCTTCACAGTGTTGTACTGCCTCTTCACAGTGTTGTAATACTCTTCACAGGTTTTCTGGGATGTATACATACTCAGTTTTCCAATTATCTTTAAGAAAGTTCTAAACCTCTCAATGCATTCCTTTCTCAGCTCTATCATAAGTAATCACACTATACTCTCTGCCCTATCCCTATCACTACCACTTATAGGAGACACTTTAGCTAGTTCTAATAGGACCAATCCTCAGATACTAGGTAATTTGTCACAAAAAATAAAATAGTATCTTACAATCAAACATGAATGCCTCTCCCAATGGTATAGTAAAAAATAATCAGAGTCAAAAAAACTAGCTAAAGTGGTATGTATCCTGTAACTTAAATCCATCCATATTAAGTACTACAACAACTGAAGTGCCTAGTTATATAAGTTATCTATTCCAATAGCATTTGCCTCATTCTCCTATAATCTTAAGCCTAGTGTTTTCTGTGGAGGCTGTTGGCAATAGATTCAATGTATTTTAGCTGTTGGCAATCTATTCAATGTATTTTAGCTTTCACTAACATATAATTAAAGGAATTCTAATATCTGCTAATCCCCAGTTCCAAAGATATTCTGTTACTTTAAAATATTTCTTATGTTAGCACCCCACTCAAAGTACCAAAATCTCTTTGTTATTAGTTACTGCATAACAAACAAACTGCCTCAAATATAAGACTTGGAAAATCAAAAAGTAAATGCTGTCATATCTACCAATGTAGATGAACCAAGGGGGAATTATTTTAAGTGAAATAAATTAGACAGAAAAATAAGCTGCATACAATATCTCCTAAGTGCAGAATCTAAAAAAAAAATCCAACTCACAAAAATAAACAGTATTTCTACTGTCTTTTGGTAGTAGAAGAAATGGGAAATGTTGGTCAAAGAGCAGAAACTTACAGTTGTAAAAAGAATAAGTTCTGAAGACCTAATGTACAGCCTGGTGACTATAGTTAATGAAAATGTGTTGTATACTTGAAATTTGTGAAGAGAACAGATTTTAAGTTTTTCACCAAAAAGTTAAAAAAAATAACTATAAGAGATAAAAACATTAACTACCTTGATTGTGGTAATCACTTCACAATGTATAAGATAATGTGCATCAAAATACAGTGTAGTATTGAATATATAAATTTTGTCAATCACATTTTTTTAAGAGAGGAGAGAGAGGAGAGAGAGTGAGAGAGGAGAGAGAGAGAATTTCCAACATTTATTTTTTTTTTTTAGTTCTCGGCGGACAAAACATCTTTGTTGGTATGTGGTGCTGAGGATCGAACCCGGGTCACACGCATGCCAGGCGAGCACGCTACCGCTTGAGCCACATCCCCAGCCCCTTGTCAATCACATTTTAATAAAACTTTTTAAAGGGAACAACATTTATTAACTCAGAGTTTCTGTGCATTGATAATTTGTGAGCCACTTAGCTAGAACAGTTTGATTTAGGAATCTTTCACAGTCAAGATGACAGCAGGTGGCAGTCATATGAAGGCTAAGCTAATTCAGCAGTATCCATTCCCAAGAATTACTCACTGAAATTATAGTAATTGTTGGCTGAAGACCTCAGTTCTTCTCCATATGGATTTCTCAACAGGCTTCTTGAACATCTTCAAGATCAGTGGCTAGCTACCCTCAGAACCAGCAGTTCAAGAGGTGGAAGTCACAATATCTTTTACAACAATTACTCCTCATCATTTTTTTCAATATCCTATCAGTTACACAGGTCAACCCTATTCACTATGGGAGGACTATACAAAAGCAAGAATACCAAGAGGTAGAGATTACTGAGCATCATTTTAGAGGCTGGCTAGCTACCATATTGCCTTACAGGGTTTTAAGAGATTTAAAAGAGATAATATATGGAAAGCATTTAGAATGGTGCCAAGTTTATAGCAGATGCTATACAACTATTTGCTATTACTATTTTCCTTACTCTGGAAAGATATGAATATCTGTGGAGAAATTTCATAAGTCTCCCTGCTCCACTTCTCCCATAGGTTAAGGTTAGGATGAATAGGTAAATAAAAGATATCCTAAATTTCCCTCCAGTTCTACATTTTTTTCTGATATAATTTACTTAAAGTGATAAAATCTTCTGAACTTCAGCTAGAGAAAGTTAGTCGCTTTATTATGGAAAAGTGTGCCCCCTTCTGAGAGCTACTAGAAAGTGACTTTGAAAGCATTCCTTTTTAACAGTCTCCAGAAAAGCAATACCATCCTTCATATTCATACTATATGAAACTGAAAATGTAAATATTCCAAAATCACCTGAACAGACTAAAATTGTAAGTAAGTCAACCACAGACTAGATTTTATGAGTAAGAGGTGCTACATCATAGGTTGCTGAACATAATTGTATAGAGAGGAGAAAAGGGATTTATCTTTACAGCACCAGAAATTCCAGACATCTGTAACTCCTAACCAGCAAATACTCTATACAATGACTTTAAATCACTAATAATATATTGTTTCCTCACACTCAAAAAAATATTATTAGGAAAATAAGTAACATTTTATGAAGCATAACTCCCAATTTATTTTCACATGGACCATAACCATATTAATTTTGACATAAACTTATGAGATTAAATGAAACAGATACTGCCATCTCTAAAATAAAAATTAAGAGACTGAATCTGGAAGATCAAGAGATGTGCCCAAGATCACATAGCTAAGAATGACAGAAACAAGTTTTTTTTAACATAAACATCATGGATTTTCTACTATACTACATTGTCTCTACAATGACAAAATAGCAATGTGCAATTTTTTTATCAATATCCCAGGTAATGAGCACACATCACATATTTTTTCTGAACTCTCTAGCATGTAACCAAGAGTTAAATCAAAGTCACTTAAACAGCTCAATTTGAAGACCCCAGAGGAAAGAGAAGAATAAAGACCCAAAGACCCAAAGATTAATTTAACCAAGGCCAAAAGATTAATGAGACAAAAAAGTCAAGCAAAGGACAAAACACCCAAAACAGGAACATGTATCCTCTTTGATTGATATTTGTAAGTGCCCACAATATGATTTGTACAGAAAATCATTTCAGAAGCAATTCAGTTTAAATGTCATATTGCAATGTTATTGAAGAAATAAATGTGCTTTGGCATGCATGTTTGTATGCATCTGTCTATGTGGCTAGCTAGCAACATAGGGACAAACACACAAATTAATTAATTATAAAGTGGCAGTTTACAAATCTGCATGTCATAACAAATATTTAAAAAGTGAATGTGGAACTTAAGAGAGAAAGGAAACAGTAGAAATAAGATAAAAGAAAATATGTAGCATATGTCATGGGTCTCATGCCAAGCCACAGATTTGACTCCAAGACTCCCATCAGTCAATGTAAAGATGGGACTATAATCAGATACCAATACAGTATTCACCCAATGAAAACATATGAGTTTCTCAGCAGATGTACAACACTTTCTGGTTTCAATGCCTCAGAGAAATTACACTCTTGAGTTCTCATAAAGAAAACGCTATATTGTACAGATATTGATCCCCTTGGCCCTTAGGATAGCCTTAAAGACAGTGAAGTAAGGTCTGCTAGAGCACCATGTATAAAAAAGTTTGTAAAGCACTTCTTTGAAAAGCAATCTTGCCAGAGTGGAAAAGGGCAATTCATCAAGAATTGTCTAAAAGACAAAACCCTTTAATCTGGTCCTACTTTTGCTGAGCAACTTTCTCATCTGTAATTTAATCTTGTGGGTGATCCTGAACTCCAGAAAATATCCATACAATTAAGTTGATCACAGTTCTCATGCTGTCATTTTTCCACTGAAATAATAAGCTAGCATTCTGGCTCATGATCAGTTTCAAAATGCCAAGCAGGCTCTGAACCCTTACAAAACTCACTTTTTCCTGGTATTCCTTCAAAGAACACAGCTGAACTCCAGTTCCAAAATTCAATTTTTACCACCTTATTTGTTGTCCTCAGATCTGACTGTTTGACCTAGACTGGTCTTGCTCAGGGTACTTCCTATGACTATTTTCTCTGAAGCCACAGCCCACAGCACCACCTACTTCTATATCCTAAAGTCACAGTCTAGACATAGATTGAGGCTCCCACTTCATCCCATCTCCACTTGTTCTGGAAGGAATTTAGGAGGACTCGTGATTTTGTCTAATACAAATCAGTTCCAGAGTATTCGGTCACTATAGATGAAATAAAAGTTTCTGCACTAGAAGAATCTACAACAGATCCTGACATTGAAGGTCCTACAGAAAATAGACCCACATAACACCTACACTGAAATTGCCAGGTCAACCAACACCAACCATGGTACTATAGAAGGCACAACTTTGAGACTACCTCAAAGAAGCATTTCTGCTGGACCAATGGAGCAGAACTTGTGGTCAGAGTTGGTTAGAAGGAATAACAAAGAAAGTTCTGCAAATGGACCAGAATCAGAAACTAATTAACAGTTTTTAGATGTGAGCAACATACAAAGTTCCTCATATGCCAGTCTCTTCTGTTGCCTCATTTACAGGAGCTGACCAAGGTCAGCAGCAACATCTTTATAAAGAAATACAGTGAAAAATAGTTAATTATATTTTACATGATTTCCCAAAGCTACTGTAGACAAAAATTGCTTTATAATCTTGGCCATCACCTCAGACCCAATGTACACAGAAGTAATCTGAAATCTAACCTGGATTGTCCATAATCAACATTTTACTTGCTCAATTATAAAGGTATTATAAATAGCAAACATCACATTCATCTTCCCTTTCTTAGGAATGCCAGTAAAAAGGTAGCTGAATAATACAGATCAAAGATGGCAAATAACCGTGCTATCACCTTCCCCCATTGTTTTTCTGCTCCTAGTAGTCCTTCCACCAAGTCCTCCTGAGATCTAAGAATTCTTATAATGCCTCATATCAAGGAGTCACTACCAAGTGAATAGATTGAAGAGAGTAAAAACATAGTGGCCATTCCTGTCCTAGATAGTTATCACACACCTTAGAAGCCAAAAAATATGTTTTTCATGTTTTTCCACATAGAAGACTCATACATCTCATAGTGGGTGATGATGTCTTTCCAACTTCTAAATCAAAATATCCAAATAAATAAGCTCTACATACTATACTCCTATCTGAAAATGTAAAAGGTAAAGATCAAGATATTTGTCTACAGGCTTGCTACTGCAATTATAATCCTTAGAAAAGCAACACCAGCATCACCTGGGAGCTTGTTAGCACTGCAGAATTTCAGTCCTCACCTGGTTTTACTATATTAGAATCTTCGATCCATGGATGATTCATGTGTATATTAAGTTTCCCTAGATTAGAGGTCATAGAACAAAACACAATTTCTTCCATCTGAATAGCCTAAACATTTTTGGGTTTTGGGGGTTTTGTTTTGTTGGGTTTTTTGTTGTTGTTGTTGTTGTTTTGGGGGGAGAGGATTGAACCCAGGAGCACTTAACCACTGGGCCACATACCCAGCCCAGTTTGTTTGCTTTTTAATCTTGAAACAGGATCTCACTAAGTTGCTCAGGGCCTTGCCAAATTGCTGAGGCTAGCTCTGTACATGTACTCCTCCTGCCTCAGCCTCCAGAGCCCTGGGATTACAGGAATGAGCCACAGCTCCCGATATACAACTTTACACTTGTAAAATTAAACAACCTGGATTTAGTAACACAGCTCTTGGTCTATTTCTACATTCCAATTGTCTATTCTTATTTGAATATATGTAGGGTACATATATTATAATATCTAACCACTCATGGACAAAGTAGGTTTTCAAATGGTAATAGTAAATACACTGAGTACATAATGATTATTTTACAAATGTCTTTCAACTTAGTAATAAAAACATTTTGGAGAAGTTTCATTTTACAATAAAAGAAAATGAGGTTTTCAAAGGGAACAATTCATCTAAGGGTATAATAAAGGAAGGGAGGGAAACATTCAGGTTTCTAGTTTCCTTTACTTAATTACAGTTATGCTTGTTTCTGCAACAATAAATGCCAAAAACAATAATAATAAAAAGCAAAAATGACAAGAAGCTTAATTAAAGTTATTAGTGAACATTACTATTTCAGTGAAAGACTAAATATTTCACTTAAGACAAATATACATTCTATATGGGAGATAACACAGCCCAGTCTAGGGCTATCTCCTACTTCAGGATCTGAAATCTTTAATTTTGCAATTTCAGAAACAGGTGACTTTGGGACTCCATCCATAGATGATTAGCCTCAAAAGACTGGCTTAACCTCACTTGAGATATTGCTGATGAGAATGGAGGAAACCTTTTCAGTGGCCAGCAAACTATATTCATAGTCTAAGAAAACAAATTCTTAGTAGGTATAGAAGGATGAAATAAGCAAAAGGTAATTAGGGGAGGAGCATGCATAAAGGGAGACAGGTAACAAATACTTCGAGGGCTCCACTATTTCTAAGGTCTATGCATTCCATTACTCTTCCTTACTTAACAAGGTCTTTCTTTGACAAGTAACAAGAAAACCAATTAACCTTTAGCTTTCTTAGTAAAAATTCATTCTAGCTTGCCTCTGCCAATTGGAATTGGGCACTCCCAAATGGCCACAGTCACAACTTAACAAGCAGCCAACCCCTAGACACTCCTATAATCCAGGTGATGGAGTTGTAGCTCAGTGGCATAGCACTTACCTAGCATGTGTGAGGCACTGGATTCAATTCTCAGCACCACATAAACATAAGTAAATAAAATAAAGGTATTTTGACCATCTACAACTAAAAAAAAAAACAATTTTTAAAATACTCAGGCAACTTAACGTTGGTTTGTAATAGAGTACTCATTCACAAAAGACAACCAACCTTCTTTCCAAGTTCTGGAGACACCTACTAAGTCCTCTACATTCCTATTTATAGTGCTGCAGATATTTTCACAATTCTACAGAGTTCTACAGAGGATTCATGTACGTCATAACTAGATTTCTTAAAGCTTTAATGATAGCTGAGAACTATGTTGCTTATGTTTGTATATGAACTTATTGAAGTTTAAAACATAAGAGCAATGATATTGTGAAGCTCTTCAGAAAAGAAATAGGAGGCATTGATACAGCTAGGAGATTAAAGAAAAGGGCTGTATTAATTTCCTTACTAAATATTGATTGTTCACTGTCTATATTAGGAGCATCTGCTCAATCATAAATAAGGGAAGGCCAGGGCCAAATGCAGTAGGTTAAATAATTAAGTATATGTGCAAAGTGGAGGACATCGTATTTCTGACTCATCTGAATATATTATAATTTTATTTATCCACTGAAGTAGCTCAATTAAATTACCTGAGAGCTAAAGTCTTTAAACCCAAGAAAGTCTCACTTCGGTAACTATCATAATTGCCTTAAGAAACAATGTCAAATAACATTATACAGTCAACTCTTAATTATGCATGTGAAGAGAGCCCAGGGATACTAGGATAATTGGCATTCACAAGTAATTTTCAAATTTCATTTTAACTAAAAGTTAAAGCCTCTCCCATGACTAAACCTCTTCCCCGAACATTGAATAGAGCAAAACTGACTGCTTAAATGTTTAACTTTGCTATCCCCTGACTGACTTCTGATTCAAACACAAAATAGTAATCAGTCAACCAGAGAGATGGAAGAAAAGCAAATGAGCCAGATAATTCACAAATTGGATAATAGAATTCTGAAGTTTGAGTTACTTATATTTATGTGTTAATGTGATTATTTGAAGAAGATAAGGTATGCAAACTGCTACATGTTGGCAGCTGTGACTCAGTGATCTCCCTGCAAATTAAGTAAATCGGATTTTCACTGTTGGAATCCTATCATTTCATTACATTGGAATCCTATCATCTATTTTACAAAGGTATCTGCAAAAATTTTATCTTATTGTGGTATTCTCATGTTAAGAACTAAGTATTCAGAGAAATTATTTTACTGCACACAAATATGACAAGATGCTTGGTGGTTGTTTGCTAGTTAAGGATATTGGAAAACTATACTTGACATAGGTAAGCTCAGAAAGAATAATCTGAACCATTTTTAATTTGAAAAGAGTATTACTGGAAAAAAAAACAGACTATTAGGGCTATGAAAACATTTTTTGTGACATTAAATCACACATATCTTTCATTCCAACGGATTTCAAAACATTTAAACTTATATTCCTGTAAATACCATTTTTACATCCAATAAAATATGACTTATTTTCTGTAATCGTTCCACTAAATTCTTTATGGCTTCTTAAAAGCATGGATTTGTACTGAGACTGAGTCAGGACAGGTTAATCGGCCTGCCAAAGTCCACAAAAAAAAAAAAAAATTGCTGGATCTCTAACATCTTGAATTAAAAGTAGGGGGATAGTTGCACAAAAAACGGGGGAGGGGATTTTGGCGTTTGATACCTTTAGGAGTAAACTATATACCCATTTCTCTCTTATTTGCCCAAAGAAAGGCGTTAGATATATTTTTCCCACAAACCCTCCAAATCTATCCAGTTCCATTAACCTATACACCTAGAGGAAGGGAACTCTTAAAGGCTTAAAAATAAACAATGAACCTAATTATCCATATATGGTTATTCAATTTTGGTCGCACAGGAAAATAGCTATTGTTGTTGTTGTTGTTGTAGTTATTATTTAGCCAAAATTTAAAGAATTCAGAAAGGTGATGCTACTGAGATAAATCATTTAAGCACAGACAGCCGGACCACCTACAGGATCATGGGTGAGAGAATCATTAAAGTGCCCACCAGCTTCAGCTCATTAGAGCCCAAGGACAGAAGTCTTTCCCTACTCTCTTGGCATTTCCCAAGTTAACTTATTGTGACAGTTATCTAAAAGCTTGAGGATTTATTTAGGAAACCCATTAAGTGAAAGGTGGGTTGAGACACTTTAACATAAAAGGCAACCCTCTATCCAACATGTATGGAGTGGTTGCTGAGTTCAAGGTCCTGGAAGGCCTCCTAACTCTTCTTCTAAGAGGAACATTCCTAAAGGGAGAAATACAGTGAATGGGCTATTAGGGGACCGTAGTACCAAGACTCCACCTTGAGGTCCCACAACCTCCGGGCCTGCTGGGTTACCCCAGCCTCCACAGACTGCCCCTCACCCTCAACACGCGTCCCCACAGCCGAGCGCTGAGGGCCACGCCTATACGGGAAGGATACGCTCCAAGTAGTAGGCGCCCTCGGCGGCCACCGCATCCCCCACATCCCCGTCTGCCGTCAAACCCAGACCCAAAGCTTCTTCCAGGTCCCGCAGAGCGGAGTCGGGCGCGCCTGCCTGAGCAGCCATCGGCCCTGCTCCCGGCCTCCGCCCCTGGCGGGCCCACTGTCGTCCCTAAGGGCAACTGCGAGCGAGAACGATTTCCGACAGCCCCACGCAGCTCTCGCGAGATCCCAGCACTCCCCGGGGCCAGTCCCGGGCAAGGGAAAGCTGACCACGCCGGTGCGCTTCCCCAGTTACTAGGGTAACGCCGTTGCCTAGTTACCAGGGAACTCGGCGAGCGGCTGCAGGAGTGGATGAGAGGCTAGAAACTGTGGGCTTGGATTACATCTTCTGACTGAGACAGCTGGGTTTCCTTTCGCTTTGACCCTATCATTTCCTTCTCACTTCGTTTTCTTCCCTAAATTGCCTTTCTCTTGGCTCTTATGTGCCCATTATCAGTGCCCGAATTTAGATGTATGTAGAGTTCAATATACTCAATGCCTGGAAGAAAAAATAAAGTTTTAGAAATCATAATTGAGAAGTTGACCCAGGAGAACTAGCAGACGGTACTCAGACGCTCAGCAATCAAGAATGAGGGCGATTGCCTTAGTCAATTCCTTCCTTCATTCTTTAATGCGTTTATCTAGACATCCATTTTTCAGTTTGGTTTCAAACCCTGGGACTTAGGGTAGTATTTGATTGGTTTTGATAAGACAAAGCTACATGCATGGCCCTACAGAAAGTATAATAGATGCTCTTTGCCCAATCACGTGTAGTTCTATTACTGACAGAGTCTTAATTTATACTGTGTATATATCAGAAGCATTTCTAAGACCTTTTCCTCTGCAGATTCTTCTTTATTCTACATTTCTTAATATCAATGTTAAACAGTGACTCTATAAAGCTCTCATTTATTACCAAAAGTAGTGGGAGCTTTCTAAGGAGGTGATTTGAGAACCTTGATGTTGGAGCCAAAGAGACTGCAATCAGAACCTGGTTCCACCACTTACTCCCCGTGAAACCTTGGATACTGTCCTCTGCACTACTTAATGCTTCTAGGCTTCAGTTTCCTCATTTACAAAATGGTGATAATATTACTCACCTCAATGTGTTGTTGTTAGGATTAAAACAACATAAAACATTAAGAATTTACTATACATAGTAACACTAAGAGATAGCAGTTATTTCTATTACATCTAATTGATTTTTGCTTTGTTTTGTTTTTAGAATAAACAAGAGTCACAACTGCACATGATAGGTAGAGAGTTGTAAAGTATGTATTCTTTACCTAACCTACTCTTTGTCATTGAGTTCTCACATCACCATATCCTGAGTGTTCATGAAATGCAAGGAACAATTACAGGGAGCTGAAAATGTAGAAGTTTTTTGAAACTGGGAAATTCACTGCTTTTATACAAAGTCTGCTCTTTGTTTCAAAGTGAGGCATTACCTCATCTCTCAAGGTTGTTTCCTGTAAATCGAGCCCTGAAAAATGACCTAGGTAAGGAGTGGTCTGGGCCTTGTGCTTTTGGCACACCCAGCAATACATGTAGAAACCTGAGAGCCACAAAGCAGGGTCTCTCAGAACAATTAATGTTTACTTTTACTTATTTTGTCTGTTACATCAGCTCCTTTTTCTTGATTCTTAGATGTAGTATGTCTTCTTCTACAGATAGACTTGTATACTAGCCCTCCTGTGTTACCTTATTAACTTAAGCTCTCTAAACCTTAGTTTCCTATTCTCTAAAACGGTGAGTTTAAATATCTAGCTTACTAAATATAGAGTACCTGAAATAAGTGAAAAACATTTAACATATCTGGTATACGTTAAATTTAATAAGTAATTGGAAAAAAAAACTGCTAAAAATATTGAGTGAATATGCCAAGCCCAAACTGGATATTATATTTGTAAGGAATTTATATGAGCAGTTTTGAGATAAAATATAAATAATTTAGAAATATGTAGTATTTTTAAAAGGGAAATAGTTTAATATAGTCATAAAAAATATGACTGGTATCCACTGCATAAGGCAGAGAAGAAGTAGGAAAGATTCTTGTCAAAAGGGCTTAAGTAAGTTTTGTAACTCTAAGAAGTATCACTAACTACATTCCAAAAAAAGTAAACCTGTGAGTTTATTTCTCTAAAAATTCCAAATAACTAATTGAGTTACCAATCTGTTTATGTCCATATAATGGGTTGCAAATTTAAAGGTTACAAAATGGTGATAATATCTGTGGCAAATATCTGTGGTATCTGTGGCAAAACTACAATCTGCAACACACTTTAGAGACCTAACCATCAATGCTTTTAAAGATTTTAATTAAAAGAAACTTTAACATTTTATTTTGTAAATCTTAACAAATGAAAACAGAATCAGTAATCGCTATTATCTTAGAAGTAGTATGTCCTTGTAAGGAATGAACTTTAAACAAAAAGATTTTATGCTAGAATTCTCATTCTGCTAATTGCTGCTTTATTTAGAAAGGGGTGTAAAGGCCTTATTAGTGGACAATAGAAAAATGTAGATCACAGTAGTGGTTTGAATTATAATTCATTTTTATCCTATAGTCTTTCCTTTTTAGTATATTTTACAAACTTCCTTAAATGGTGGGGTGGGGGGATAAAGTGCCTTAACATTTTGATGAATGAACAGCAACCTGTCTACTTTCTTTTTAAGTCTGTTCCTGAAAGAGGTAAATAAGGAAACCAATGGAGACAGTAAAAATGAAGCATCACAAAGGACAAATTTTATCTCCTCTTGCCGCAGTCTGGCTGGGCACAAATCACAAACCACGAGCCACTTGATTTGTGCTCAGCCAGACTTCGGCATCCTCTGAGTCTAAATGCTCCATTTATGCAAAAGTGAAATTATTTTTAAAAGTAAAACCAGAAAAGAATCTGACAATGGATGTACTATCTGCATTTATACTTTCAAAGCAAAGAATACACATATGCAAATATATACTAAAGTAGTATTCAATTTTGAGAAGTTATAGGCATTCATTTGCTATAATAGAGCCCAAACCATTTACTGATGTATCTTTTATAAAAGAAGCTGTCTTATTTTTTTCCAAAAGTTCACAGTAAGTGGTAGCCACTTTTAAAATTCCTGAATTCATAGAAGGAGTAATAATTATGGTATTAAATTATCAAATTTTGAAGCATACAGTACATATTTTTCCTTTTACACTACCATCCATTTAAAACTCCTTTATCCCATATTCTTTGCCCATTTGGTTCAAAGAGTGTCAATCCAGTGTCTCTGATGAAAAGTTCATGATACAGACTTACCATAAAAGTACATCTTATTTCTAAAATGGAATTCCCAATTCATTTCTCAGTGAAGTTTTCTGGAGTTGGCCTGTTTTTTAAAAAATATGTCAAATCCCATCTGGTAGAAATTTGTTGGGGATTCTGGAAAATAGACTCCTATTGTCTCCCTCTGGTTTAAGTTCAGAGTTTGCTATAGCCACCTTGCAAGTATGAAGAAAGTTTCTAAAAATTGCATCAACAGGGAAGGACTAGGTAAAAGAAAGAGAAAATCATTTGAATCCTAATACACATACCTATATTCCCTTGCTCATCCATCTGGGAAAGCCCAGAAGCAACACACCCTATAAAAATGAGCACACCTAACATCCCAACATTAGTTTCTAATATTCTCCAATAAAAGGAATGAGGGCCTCTTAGAGAAACATCTAAATATAGGACTAAACCAGAAATATACAAGATGACATTGGTGAGTCTTACAGTGCAAAAGTAAAAATATTCTCCCCTGATAAAAATTTCACAGTGATGAGGATATATAAAATGGACAGAACAACCAACTGAAAGAGCTCCAAATGGACAAAGCTAGGACAATTTGAGCAACAAAATTAATACAACAGTATTGGAGTATAGTTCACAATACAAAATATCTATGAATCCACACTGATATAAATGATTGGCAAATAAATGGGTAAGAATGGACTACATTTCTGTGAAGAATAATTATAAATAATTTATATAGATGACGCTATTCCAGGAGGTGGAGCATGACGGCCATTCCTGTTGTGTGGGCTACTTATAATGAGTCCCTTCCAAAAAGCATAGTATGGAATGTGGGACTGGCCTGGTAGGTGGGGATCCCAGTGTCACAGAAGAGAAAGCTGAAAACCACTACCTCAACCTGTTGATCAAGACTAGTGTCAACAGTGATAAGTTGTGTTCTCAGTACATACCATTCATATGGTACGATGAAAATGGTATTTCACTTCTGCGATCTTACTCCCCTAAACACATAACTCCAGATAATCATAAAAAAATAAAAAGGGCTTTAAGCTTGGAAGATCCCAGTGAAGAGCTGATGGCTCCGCTCCTGCCTGCACTTGCTTACTGCCCCACTTCAGCCAGGAGTGCCCACCAGCACCCCTGGAAGGTCAGATCATCCATGGTCTTTATCTGGGAGATGCCTAGCTATTGCATAATGCTTTACTATAGGACCCACAGCAAAGACTGGAAGCTGAACTGATTTCCTCTACATAGCAAAGAAAGATTTGAAAAGTGGTTAAAGAATATGAAAGGGAATAATTGGGTTCCTAGCAAATACCAGTTCCTGTGTAGTAACCATTTTCTCCTGACTCTTCTGACATGAGATGGGGTATTCATCATCTAAAATAAAGCCAATTTCAACAATATTTTTCTTGCCTGAAGACTGTCAGGGTAAAGACCCTTCAAAAAAAATCTCAGAAGAAAAAATTAGAAGATGATAAAAGCCATGTTAGAAGAATCCCTAGCATCAAATGAGACAAAGAAAATTATAGTTACCACAATTGTGCTTCTGAACATTCAAAATTGCTTGATTCTTCTGCCATGATGAAGCCACCAGTTCTAAAGCCAGAAAGCATACAAAATAA